TTCTTTGCCCCCGAGCTCGGGCAAATCGCGGGTGACAGATCGGCGAGCTCGGCGGTGGCGTCTCTGCTTCTTGGTGGGCTCGACGTTCGTGCTGCTCACCTCTGCGCTGTTCGGAATGGTTTGTGCAGGAAGTAGCCCGGTCTGCTAGTGATGGTTGCGGACAGAGGGGTCCTGCTTGGAGTCTATTGCCAGGATCTCGAATCGGTTCTCAAGGATCGGGGTTTCAAACTTCGACTGCCGAGGTGATGTAGACCTGGTGAGTTGGGGTCCTCCCGACCTGTCTGCCCGCGACGAGACTGGGGTAGCCGGTGTCTCTCGTCTGCCGTCGGGGGAGGCCTGGTTTTTTGGGAGGTTTTGGGGGGCCTCACCCTGGCCAGAGGGGCGCTCATCCTAGTAGCGAGACCAAGCTTGCTGCGAGGCTGGGTGCCGAGGCGGGAACTACGGCTGCTAAAGCTGAGGTTGAGGCAGCTGGGGGAACTGCTGCTGATATTGATACTGGGAGACCTAGTGCAACACATGTTGTTGATAGAATTGAAGTTGTTGGAACTGTTGCATTTGGGCCTGCATGGCCCGCATGCACTGCATCAAGTCCTCCAGTTGATTCGGGCCGGCTGCTGGGGGCACGACCAAAGGTTCGGTGAACGTCGCTCTGACTGTAGCAGGGAGTGGGGCGATGACAGGTGCCACTGTAAGAGGCACATTCAAGCTGGGGATTCCGTCCGCCGAGAGAGGGACGGTGAACTATCTGATACAAACAGTAGGAAGCTGGGGTTGTTCCCTGGAGTTATCCATTTCCGTGCTTCGTCCGACGTTGCTAGAGGAAGCCATGAGTGCTGAATTTTTTCAAGGAAGAAGAGAATTGTGAGAGTTTAGAGAGAAAGGCCTTTTGAAGCGCTTCCCACAGACGGCGCCAAATGATGTAGCGCGATCCGGTCACTCCTAGCTGGCACTCGCGTGGCTCCTGAGAAGTACCTGAGACGAGAGGGAAGAAGAAGAACTCCCGGGGGTTTGCTCGGCAGGAACACTTCGATGATTAAGTCAGTATCTTGTGCAAGAAGCAAAGGGAAAACGAAGGCTAAGAGTGAAGATTGCGCAGATGATTCGAAGATACCTTGTTCCTTGAGAATAAGCCCCTTATAACTGAATTCCGTTACTTTAGGCCCTTTGCTTCTGACAGCGCAGGTATAACCGCCACTGTTAGTCTGCCACAGCCGTTACAGGCAAGGCTGAGGTGGCACGCGCGGGGCCGTCGTTGCAGGCTACGTGCCTGTCAGGTGCGAGACACCTTTCTAAAGGTGACAGGCGTGGCGCTATCTGACAAGGGACATGTCTGCTGTCCACAGATTTGTCGGGTACGGCGATCGAGCAGGAAGCCTTCCTGTGGTATGCCGAGCTACCCTTCCGCGAATTACCCTGAGTCGGGCTATCTCTTGAGTGACGAGCTACCTGTAGCAAGTTATGCCGATCTGGCTGACCCGAGGTGTCTATGCCTCGGGGTGTCCAGAGATGGATCGGTGCGTTCCCGTCTGGGAGTGGCCCAACGTCCATTGGGAGGAGCTCGGGCCTCAAGAGAGGTCAGGATGCCCCGAACTCGGGGCGCCCCGAAGTCCCTTAACTCCGGAGAGGAGGTGCGAGTGAGGCGGCTTCTGGTGAGTGGTTTATCCGCCCAGTTGCCGGGCTGAACTCGGTGGGACCTTCCCTCCGAGTTGTGGTCATGTCCGTTGTGCTGTCATGTTGAGTCACTGTTTGAGCAAGGTCACGCCCACGTGTACCCGTACTGTGAGGTCAGGCCAAATCACCCCCCATCATCTCCCATGAATAATAAAGTAGATGTTCCCAATGTACGCCTACAATGACTTGTTGGGACATCAATTGAAGGACATTGATTGGAGCATTTTGTTGGTAGCAGTCTCTACCCATCTAATCACTATCCAATTATCCTAATTAATAATTGCTTTAGTTCTATGTCTATATTGTAAAACTGATTAATAATCAATTCATGACCAATCCACCGAGATCACATCCGCACCCCCACAAAGTGCACCCCACAACACATGCAACCATTAGAGCTGTAAATCGGGCCATGCAAGGTAAAAGAGCGAGCCGAGCTAGGTCGTGCTTCCCTCCACTGGGATAAGTTAGAGGGTCGGCCTGACACAACCAACAACCCGAACTTGTACGAGCCCATGCCGTGGGCCTGGGGTGAGCAGGTTGCAAGTCGTGTTGTGGGCTTGGGCTATGCTTGGATGGGCTACATGTCAGGCCTTGGCCTAGGCAAAACCTGGCCAAACTGTTTTTTTTTTTTTACATTTTGATTTTTTTTGTTAAGTAAAACTATAATACTAAACTTTCCTTTGGGAACAATTGAACAAATTGAAAAAATAAAAATTCTAACAACGAAATGAGAAAATACTTAACAAAATACAAAATGCCAAATGGACAACAAATTGGAAAATAGTAGGAATTTTATTTCATTGAAATTTGAAACTTGAACAATACAATGGTGAAAAAAATACTTAACAAAATGGAATAAAATATAAAAGATATAATTCAATTACAAATTGAAAATTGAAAATTAAAAATTACATTATTGAAAAAATAACAAATAATTTAAATAAAATTGAATAACAAAATTTACAATAATTTTAGAAAATGTAAAAAAATTATTGAGTATACAAAAAATATTGTCTTCGTCATTTTTCTTCAAGTTCCACCTCCATCTCCATCATGATATTGATCATCTGCTTCTGGTGAATCATCAAGTGTAGTGTCATGCCCTCCTTTGTCTTGTAATATATCCTTAGCATCTAGCCAATCTTAGCAGATGCACATCTCCAGACTTTCATCATTCATACAGTTTCTCTTGTCATTCAACACCCTAGTACCTGCACTAAAACAAGACTCCGATGAAACTATAGACAATGGAGGGGTTAGTAGATCACGTGCCATGGTGGCAATGACAAAATAATTTTTTTGGTATCCACTTCACTAGGCTAAACTATCAAAATTATTCATTCCTTCTGAGTCAAATGAATCACTTAAGCTAGAACAATTTGCTTGTAAATAAAAATTAACTTCAGTAAATGAACTTGTTGATGAAGTGGCAGCAGATTTTTGCATCCTACTTATTAAAAACCAAACTCTATCTTTCGCACTACTAGAACTAGTTGTTTCAAAGGTCGAAGTTGCACTTGTACAAGTTGTAGATTTTTTATTCCCTACCATATTAGATTCATATAAACTATACATTTCAAATAATAAACTATTAACTTTTTCTTTTTGATTTCCAATTTCAATATTCATATTTTCACAATATGATTCAAGTAAAATATCTACACCATCTTTTCTAATCCTATAATCTAATATTGAGCTAAACAATAAAGAGGAGAAATGTTCTCCCAATATTTTTTAAATTTACTTTCCATTATTTCAACAATACTTTTAAATTGTGGATTGTTTCTATATTTTGCAAAACATTCACTAATCATGAATAATTGATTAACTAAAAGACAACCAGTTGGTAATAAACACCCAAAAATTCCTCAATTGCATCATAAGAACTGTGTAAAAAATCTCTTATACAAATGGTCATTTTCCAATCTTCATGAAGTATAATATAATGTGGCATTTTTGAATTATAAAAATAAGAAAGAATTTGTTTATATGAATACAACTTTCTAACATAAAATAGGTAGAATTCCACATATTATGAACATCTAACATAAAATGTTTAGATTTTAAACCATAATTATGACATAAATATTTAAATTCTTGTTTTCTTGCTCCAGAACTTTTAATATATATAATACAATTTCTAATTTTACAAATATGATAAGAAATAATATTTAAAGCATCATGAAAACATAAATTTAAGATATGATATGCACATCTAATATGAAAAATTTTACCAATACAATGAGGTTTTAATTAAAATTTGAAAATATTTATTACTGAATCATTATTATTGGCATTATCAAAACTAATAAAAAAAAGTTTATTGTCAATTCCATAAGCATGTAAAGTATTTAAAATACTTACAGCTAAGGGTGAGCATTATTAGGTTAAAATAAAAAAACCGAACCAAAAATTTTGATTTCGGTTTTTTTGGTTTTTGGTTAATTCGGTTTGTTTTTCTTTTGTTTTTAAACATTTCGGTTTCAACTTAGGTTTTTAGAATTAGAAATTTGGTTAACCGAAAAAACTGAATTAACCAAACTTTGCTATATAACATGTAATATATAATAGATAATATATAATATATAACATATTATATTTAATATATATATATATATATTAATATATAATATAATAAAATGGGCCCGTGAGGATATGTTTGACCACCGCATTTGAAAGTGTCATCCGTTTGAGCAACGAAAGGATATGTTTTACAATCATGGGTCGCTCTGCAAGAGCATGAGACTATACCTGCCTTTTTTTGGGGATGCCAAGGAGGCAACGAGGACGACATATTACTCAAAGGAATAGCGGTGATGGTTTCATAAATTGAAAAAAAAATAGGTAAATTTAAGTTAATTATAAAAGGGTAATTTGGGCATTTAAAAAATTTTAAACACTCAAATGAAAATATTTTTCGAAATTAACTGTACAGGGGGTCTTTGTCACAGACTCCATAGTACAAGAAGGGGGTCTTTGTCACAGACTCCATAGTACAAGAGGGTCTTTGTACTTTACCCAAAAAAATAAAAAAAAAATAGCCAAAAACATTACTCAAGTCAAACGAATTGAGTCATCCAAATCAACGAGATATGAATTAAGAGTGAAACCGAACTGATTGCCTGAACAGTTTTTCAAGCCGAACAGTCGAACCATCCGCGGTCAATGACAGTTCAAACTTCAAAAACCATGCCATGCATCAATACGTTGCAACACACATTGTACCAAATTTGATCCAATTGGATCTGGATCCACCACTATCTTTGATCTTCATATATTACTTAAAATTTTAATATTGTAATTTTACTTAATTAGAGAGACAGAGAGAGAAGTAAAACTGATCATCTTTACGTGTTGCCAGGTCGCCAAGATTAGCTACAATAAAACATACAACACATACAAGTAAACTATGGAATGTGCATCCCTTCTTTTACAATAATAATATTTCCCAAGTCCCACAAAATCACCAACTTTTACAGTTGATACATGAAGAAGCACCATCCCGTAAAGCTATTTCCCTTCTTCGCTCTTAACCCCCCCTCTGTCCTAACCGCACTACCTGAGCTGAGAAATTCCCTTTTGGGCGCTGAAGTTTATTCGTTGCTGATGATTGCAAAATCCGATGTCCGGGAATAGATGGAACCCATGCCCAACAATGTGCACCATCTGTTTATAGATGTTTCTTCTTTTGTTTGGGGGAAGGGAGGGCCAGATATGTTGTTACAGGAAACAGTTCTGGAGTTCCACAAATTGCGCTACTACTTCACCGTTAGTACTCTTGGGCATCCAAAACAGGATTTGATGGATACTCTAGACCCTGAAGTGCTGGCATCCGTCTTAAATCCTCTTCTGAATATGCAGGGATAAACCAGTATCTCTTGTCTGTCCCGAACACCTGATACTCAAAAAAATGTAAATCCTATCAGTCGAATCAATCAATAGAAAAATACTAAGAGTTCTACTAAGGTGCATCTGGATCTGGATGCACGTCTCATTGATTGGCATTTCACAAATTATTCTTTTCAGTTTTTTTTTTTTTGGTATTTGGTGCCCCGCACCACTAATACCCCCCCCCCCTGCTGGAATGAACCAGCTAACATACGAACAAGCAACACCCTGGGTTGGTAATACAATCATGTCTTTTGCTGCACAGTTCAGTGATACAATCCCAACACATACATGGTCCATTTCAATAATCCCCCTTGCCTTTTCAGCTAGTGTTATGCATCTTTTTAATTTGAAATGGCAACTTTCAATTAATAAAAAGGAAACAAAAAGAAAAAAAAAAAAAAAAAGGATCCTCCATCTTCCTCTTCCTCCTCATCCCCCTCCCTCTTAAGGAGGCATTGTGCTCTGGAGGCTTATGCCTCTTATGTTCTGAACTATGCCTCATGTCTCAGATAGTGGAATGTTTCTTTTAACGCCTCCATGTTTTAAAACATTGGTAATACCAAAGAAGAAGATAGGCCAGGTTTGGCATATCCAATAGATTATACGGCTTAGTATGCTTCCAGGATAAATGTGAATAACCATCACCCATCTCCAAATCTCCACCGTGCACATGTAAACATGCAGGGGTGTCATAAAAGATAATTGACTGTATGCTAGAAACATAGTATTGGTGGCAGATTGCTTTGAAACTTTCAATGATCAGGTGATCTAGCGTCCCAGTTTGAGAAGGAACCTAAACAATTGGGAGATCAACAGCCGAACAGAATTATTAAGTTCAGTTAACTCAGTGCAGCCTCAATTATTGAGCCCTGATGCCAAGGTTTGGAAGGGAGATAGTTCAGGAACATTCGCCACCAGATCCCCTGCAGCAAAATCTGGGTGACTTGTGTTCCTTCAAAGGCCTCATTCCTAGGGATAGCCCGATCAAAAGAGGCTTTCAAATCAAGTCCAACTTATGTCTGATGTGTGGATCAGAAGTGGAGACTGTGGACTACCTGTTTGTGCATTGTAAAGTGGCTAATACATCCAGGACATTGTATCTAAAGCTCTTCAGGATAGTGATATTCTTCCCAGACAGGCTGGAATTTGAGAGGTCTATCTAAGAAAGGGAAAGTGGTATGGAATAGCATCTAAGCAGCAGTCATTTGGAACATTTGGAAGGAAAGAAAGTCATGCATTTTCTGGAATGTGGCATGCAATGAGGAGAAGCTTCAGTCCAAGATAACATGCACCTTAATATCTTGGAGTTCTAGTCATGAAGGATATTTTGGTTTGAGACAGTTCTATTTTGTTTTCTGAAAATATGCACAAAGATACAGACATACAGATAAAGTAAGCCATATACTTGTATGTCCCATTATACACAATCGTACTAGGGCTTTTACTTTAATGAATATACTTTACCTTAAAAAAAAAAAAACAAATGTGCAGCAGCAATTCTTTCCACCCTCTGGATGACAAAATTGACCTCCTAGGGGTGTCAGCAGGCCAGGATCGGCACCGGTTTGCCTCAACCCAAACTTACCCCGACCCGAGTTAATAAGACAATTTCTAAACATGCACCAATTCTATAAAGTTGAACCTCATACCAAAAAAAAAATAAAGATTAGAGGAAAATAGTTCCTGGAAAAAAAAAATATTCAAAATTAAAAGAACATCTGAGGGAATACCAAGAAATGTAGGTAATGCAGTGTCATCTATTAGGAGAGGTCTCAAAGGAAAAATATTAAAGCTTTACTTCGGTCACTCTCCATATCCAAGGTTTTCAATGTTGGTGAAGAAGAAAATTACAAAGAAACAATAAAAGTTAACTTCCATGATAAGAGCAAAAAGCAAGAAGCAAAAAAAAAAAAATGCAAATGGAATAAAGAGACAAGGATGTTTAAGAAGCAAGAAGAAGAAATAAAAACAAGAAACCTCTTATTTGTAGCAGAACCCAGTAAAGCTCTCTTTAGCATTGTTTTAACCCCAAGTTTTGCACAGCACAAGCAAGCATTAAGTAGTTCTTTTCTTAAGGAAGAAAAAGAAAACTTACCACTGATATTTACAAAAGAAAAACTAGGTTGTAACTGCTCTACAGTCTGCTTATGGTTGTCCCTTCTCCTTTTCCAATCTATCTTCTCTTCAAGAAAATAAATGAAAGAGGGACCAAAAAATGAAAACAAAAGAAAACCCTAGGGTATATTACAAGAATACCTTCTTTATGCAGGGAACATCATGACTCAATGGGTCTGAGTAATGTAACCCAATACTGACCAGAACCCGACTCAGATTAGAGTATTAAAACCCTATCCCGATCCTACAGCCAAAATAACCTGCCTCAAACCCAATCCTATAGGATCAGGTCAAGGTGGTTTACCATTCAACCCACACCCCCTAGGTTATCCCTAGATGAACAACCAACAAAGACAATTAACTATGTCACCAATTTTCTTTTGACAAGTCGCAAAGCTGTTGTCACAGCTCCATGTTGTTCCTTGTCATCTATTCCATTATGTTTTGGTCACTAACATTGTGCCAGTTCATCCACAAAAATATGGATGTACATTCTGCCTTGAATGGTTGGTTTGGTTAATAGTTAATGATGCCTTCAAAAGTTAGTTTTATGGTCTGGTACTTTTCATGTAATGTAAGTACCACTAAACATACAAGCATAAAAGCATCAATAATCTCAAGAAGAAAAAGTAATGTAAAACATCTGTTATCAGACTCGCTAAGAAGCTAGAAACCTGAAAACACAACCTTGTATTTCCAATTAAGAGGACTTCTGACAGTGCAAAACGTGGTATTGAGCTGAACAATCAGAGAAACCGACTTGACCATGATCTTAGTCAGTCATGCAAACCAAGGAGGGACACTTAGCAAAACCAGCGTAAAGTCTTCAGTCAGGAGTAGCAACAATACACAGTCCTGACACAAAGTTCAACCATGGCAAACTGATCTGTGTATTAAGCTTGGTTTACTTTGAAACCTTCAAGGATGGACAATTACCAAGACCAGTGTCAAGTCTTCAGTCAGGAATTTCAACAATACATAGTCCTGACGACAAAGTGTAACCATGGCAAACTGATCTGTATATTAAGCTTGGATTACCTTGGAACCTTTCATGGTTGAGGCATTAAACATGGGTTACTTGTACTCATCTAAAAAAAGCATGGGTTACATGGTTTAACAGAAGGCTATCAATAATTAAAGATTTAAAAGTTCCAGTAAAAGAAACAGAAAAAAATCCGCAATGTGTAGGAAAATGCAACCACCTGTTCAAAGTTCTTCTTGCGACCAAGGTCATAACGCCATTTAGGAGTGGTCTTCTTCTCATATGCCTGATTACAAGAAAACCAAGCCACCATTAATTATATGGAAAACAACCTGCATACCAACCATGAAGTTGGGCGCTCGAGATACACAGACAAATAATTTTTTTTTTCTTTCAGAAAAGGCTAAGTATATTTGTATTACTGAGAAATAATAATAATAATGACAACAACAACAACAACAAAGGAGTGAAAGAGAAAAAGTAAAACAACCTGATACACAGAGGCATGGGCTCGAAGGCATGCATGCATACACACACACACACACGAGAGAGAGAGAGAGAGAGAGAGAGAGAGAGAGAATGAATGAATGAATGAATGAAAAAAATTTAAAACAACCTGGAAAACAGATATTACCTCAATAGTGGTGGTATTAGCAGCAACCAGTGATATATGCATGATCAGAAATCCCATCACACTCAATGCAAATGCTAAGTTTAAAACTGGATAACAGAGTGAAGCGGTCATATTTAAGAAGAAGATAGAAGAAGAAAGCATGAAAGCAAGAGAAAAAAAAAAAAAAATCTTCAGAAATTAAACTTATTGAAACTCACCAAATGTGAGAAAAGTGGTTGCAAGAGTTCCTGGTGTTCCAGGTATTTCTCCATCACTAAAGAATGCTATGAAATGTGGCAACAATGATAAGGTGACCAAAGTTGTCTCAAGAAACGTGTAGAACTGCATTGAGATTAAACAACAGAATATAACAATCAGGATTGTCGTAATTGGTTCTTTTCTTTCTTTTTCCTTTTCTTGTGGTGATTCCAGCATATCTAGTAAACAAATAAATGGATGAAAGAATGATTAAAACCATCCACAACCCAAATTAATAGCTGATAAGACAGTAAGACACCTATTTAGAAGACAAAAACATTCCTACATGTTGTGCCCAAAAACACAAGGGGGATGCAAACATATTATGCCCACAGAAATGCAAAGCCAATCTTGTAAATTGCAAAGATGATGATATATAAACTCTAAATACAGAAGATATTTCGACGGAAGTAGCTTTGGAAATCCAGGGCCATCTGGAATTGGAGGGGTTTTAAGAAATGAAAGCAGAGTGATCATGGGAATGTACTCAGGCCCCATTGGAGTGTGTGACTCTGTAGGAAAACATTCCCACATGTTGTGCCCAAAAACACAAGGGAAATGCAAACATATTATGCCCAGAGAAATGCAAAGTCAATCTTGTAAATTGCAAAGATGATTATATATAAACTCTAAATACAGAAGATATTTCGACGGAAGTAGCTTTGGGAATCTGGGGCCATCTGGAATTGGAGGGATTTTAAGAAATCAAAGCGGGGTGATAATGGGAATGTACTCAGGCCCCATTGGAGTGTGTGACTCTGTAGGAAAACATTCCTACATGTTGTGTCCAAAAACACAAGGGAGATGCAAACATATCATGCCCAGAGAAATGCAAAGTCAATCTTGTAAATTGCAAAGATGATGATATATAAACTCTAAATACAGAAGATATTTCGACGGAAGTAGATTTGGGAATCCGGGACCATCTGGAATTGGAGGGGTTTTAAGAAATGAAAGTGGAGTGATCATGGGAATGTACTCAGGCCCCATTGGAGTGTGTGACTCTGTAACAGCAGAATTGAAGGCAGTAATTTATGGGATGCAGAAATCTATGGAAATGGGGACTCGAAAGCTAATAGTTGAAGGCGACTCCGAAATAGTAATAAGCTGGTTAAAACAGAATGAGAAGGTTCCTTGGTTTTTCAGAAACAAAACCAAACAATTCAAGAGGTTTTCAAGGGATATGCAGCTGATATTTCAATGGACTCCTAGGTCGGCAAATGGCCTAGCTGACCAACTAGCAAAGCAAGGGGTAAATAGGGTAGAGTGCTTCTGGGCTCAGTTGCAAGACTGAATATTAAATTGTCTCTGTATTCTATTGATGGTAGCCGATGCTGCCCTTGTTTCTGTACTCTCTTCTTTCTCTAAGTAATAAAATTTAATGTTGATTACTGATAAAAAAAATAAATAAATACAGAAGATATTTCAAAGATTATAAGTCAAAGTTGAGAGCATCCTGGAGCTTGTGAGTGCCTAGAAGTTAAACTAATGTGAACGAAACTTTCACATTGGAAGGTAAGCAATAGGATCATGGCCATTTCTATTTGAAATCTAGTGGTTGAAAGGTTGAAAGAAACTAGATTTGAGAAAATATTGCAAAAAGAGGAAGGATAATGTTAGTACAACAATCTTTTTTTTGGTTTTTTTTAAGAAGTTTGGTGGAAAAATCGCCTTGTAGGTTGTAACTTCTTTTATCTGTTTTCTACCAGTAACAAAAAGAACCACCATGTAGCTTCACCACTTGTTGCTTTATACTACTTCCCATTCTCCAGAATATGACCCCCAATGGAACAACCGAACATCTAAAAATTTGATATCAAATGTTGCCTATATAAGAGGAGAGAAAAATAACTATCCACTTGAATTTTACCCCAGAATTCTCATGTTCCTGTTGTCCCCTTTATTGCATCAGGACAACTATGATGGTTCAGCAATTCCCCTCTTGAGTTGATCCCCTTGAATTATGATGAATCACAGACTGCCTTTATGCTACTACGTGCAAGCAATAAAGATCCCTTTTAAAATTTGTGTAACTGGGGACTAAATGGAAAGCACATAGTAAAAGTAGCATTACTAACATCCACATATATACACTTTCATACATTAATGATTTTGTATTACTTATCAAAAAAAAATGCAACTTATCAATAAAATTTTTCCTCACAAAGTGGGAATATAATCCATCAGAACTTAACTTTTACATTCAAAGGAATATAAATGAAGACTTGAGAAGGCAGAAGGTATATAAACAAGAACAACAGACACAATGCCTCCAAGATTCACAACAGATAAAGAAAAGACAAGTTGATATTGAATCCAAAACAGAACTAATGAATGCAGCATGTAAGAGAGTTTGGACATGGCAGCGTAAATCCAACATACCAAGAAAAGAAGGAAATACTTGTAGTTTAATGCCCCAACACAATTGACGACCCACACGCAATGATGGTCCATTTTCAGGACACACCTCCCACCTAAAACCAATTGAATAATTTCAATATTTTTATTGTCATTTTTTCTCTTTTTGGTGCCTCTCATAACAAAACCAGTAAGTTTATGAAAAGAAAATGCATGTATAGATGGAAGAACTCACAAACGGAGCAATGATGGCATCGAGGTGGTTTCAGCTGGTTACACTTCCGGCAGTACCGGAATCTTGGATTTGCTGGGTCAGGCAGCATAGCTGATTGCTGCAGACCTGCACCTGCGGCACCAAACTCTATACCCGTTAATGGGTCGTTTTCTCCTCTTTCCTCATCTAAGGTTGGCCTCCAGTTTGGTGGAACACTGCCAGGATCGGTTAAAACAACGGAAAAGTAGCTCCACAACAGCATCACCAACTGCATAATCAAAATAACCTCTTAAAACCATAAGTGTGTCGATTCCAATTAGAATAAAAAGCGTAATACTTAATAATAGTTCCTCGCTTCATTTTTTGCTGGATCAGCTATTTCTTTTCAGCAGAAAAAAAAAAACTATTTTTTCTAACAACCCCACAAATAAAAAACAAAATGGAAGAAATTAAGCTCTGCAGTTTCTTGGAAATAGTAATCCTTAACGGTTAAAATTTCCTGACAAAAAAACATCCAACTAATTCACCCAACTCCAAAACTACAAATGTAACCTTCTCAGCCAAAAGGCAAAAAATTAAAAACCAGAAAATTAGGGCAAAAACTCTACAGCTAAATAGATAATGAAAAAAGTTTGTGGAACATGAGAGAGAGAGAGAGAGAGAGAGAGAGAGCTTACCAGGCCATGAAACAAGATCAAGACAGCAAGAGCCGTGATGGAATCAAGACCACCGTCGTACAAAGCCGGGACGTAATTGGTAATGACGACGGCATAATACGTGACTCCGACAACGCCGAGGACCAATAAGATCATTATAGACCCAAGCCCACGTAGAGCCGTACAAAACTTGAAAACGTTCCACGCCATTACAGCACCGGATCTGTGCATATTGAAATCAAGAAGACAAATATCTTGATTTTTTTTTCCACTCTATACAAAAGTTTCTTTGTATATAGATATGGGCTATATGAATCTAAATGGAAGCATGCACATCAATCTGTATATCCGATCTCTGTATCTAGGGTTTACAAGTTAAGCAGCTGGGATTCTGGAATTCCGGGCGATGCGTGGAATTCCATACCCAGTCGGGCCTCTCTGGTTTCTCCTCTGTCTTGAAACTAGAGAACAAAACGAACCCAGAAATATAAACTCCAAATTTTGCAAAATTTAGAAAGAGAAATAGGAAATGCGTGGGAGGAGACTCGACGAGACGACGAGGGCTCGGATCCGAAGGCGGGTGGACGAAGCAAAGAAAATTGTAATACTCTTAATTTAGATTGATTCAGACCTTCAGATTGCCATTAATTATGCTTTATTCGGAAAGAAAAGCTAAAAGTAAAAGCGGTTAAAGCAATTTTAGGTACCGTTTGGCAATTATTTTTGCCAAGATCTTCTAACAGCCAAAATAGTCAAAGATAAAATTCCCTATCACTATGCTCTACTTTCCCTCGAGTGACAATTTGGTTCTCTAACTTTCAAGACGCCGCAGGTATCGGATTGTCGCATTTGAAAGTTGGGTATTGGATTGTTGCATTTTAAAGTTATGGAGATTAAATTATCATTTGAGCCAAAATATAGGGTATCAATCCAAAATTTTTCATAACAAAAGAGGGGTCGCATTTGAAGCTTTCAGATTTTTTATGGGTTTAGACTTTTATAAGGGCCCGTTTGATAAGTCTTTTTGGGAAGATCTTCTGGTAGTTCCGCGAGTCAAAAGATGCAATGAGCTTTTGCATGAAGATCTAAGTAGCTTGAAGCTAATTTGGTAGATACATGTATTTTCATGTCTTTTCATGCAAGAATAAAACCTAAAAGATACAAAAAGCTTTATTTAGAGCTTCCCGAAATCAGCCCAAAATGGGTTTTTTGCGTCTTTTCAGCACTCCAGCTTTTGGCGGCTAGATTCCTACGAACCCAACAAGAATAGATCGAAAATCAATCTGCTTGGCTTATAAACAATCAAAAGACCACATGGAAAGATGTGCCAAACGGGCCCTAAATTTTCAGGGGTATAGGTCCTGTTGGTTTCGTATCACACAGAGAAAATCAAATTTTGGTTTTCCAAGTTTTAAAAAGCCTGAAATACCATACCAAAAGACATGTCAAACATATTACTACTCAGGGTTAGGGATGGCAATTTTTCCCAATGGGTGAGAGGTGGAGATTGTTTTATGCATATATACATACGTACATACATACATGCATATAATATTATTTATATTTTAAAAACTTCCTTTATTTTAAGTAAATCTATTTATTTTTTAAATATCATTATTAACAAATTTCGAGATTCGAATCCCCATGAGAAACCCATCTCCACCATAGAGGATAATTTTTATCTCTGATGGTGATTAGGATTGAGGACGGGGATTTATTTATAAATCAAGGTCAGAGATGAAAAATATGATCTCCCTCCATTGCCATTCCAGTCGAGACCAATACAATGCAAAGCATAGTTTTCAAAATCGGACCAGACCGAACAGTTGAACCAGAAAAATTGGGAACCAGTCAAGTGACAAGTTCTGTTTTTCCCCAAAACCAGATATTTACAAAAGAACGTTGATTTGGTCAGCAAACCACTGACTTGGGTGGTTGAATCGTTCAACAGTTTCGACCGTTTTTAAATTTTTTTATTTTTTTGTCAAAATGGGCCGACCATTTGGACCATTCGACCCGAGAACCTGACCCATGACTGGTTCAATCTCTGGGTCGATTTTAAAAACCTTGATGCAGAGGTTTTATTAAAAGAAATTGTGGAAAATTAAAAAAAAAAAACGCTATGACATTACTAATTAGACCGAGCAAGATCGAGTCGAATCTAACCATTGTTTTTGGGTTATGTATTATTGAGCTGGACCTTTGAGTTCCGGGCCCAGGCTTGTATTCACCAAAAAAAAAGAATCTAAAGGCCCAATAAGCGCGTAATTCCTGTTTATTATATTTTAATAAATACAAGGCCCAATTCTGGTCAATGCGTTATATTATATCAACTTGGGAATAGAATCCCACTCGGGTTCCAATGTCTGAATTTAGTATTTGATTGGGATGATCGAGATTTTTTGATTGGTTGAGTATAGATCAGGCCCATCCAATATCCGATCCCTTTAATTTTCATATCTTGGACTCATTCTTATTTCTTACAATCATGCATTCACCCCCTGTAAATGCGGTCTGTCCCAACTATGAGATCCATTAAAGATTCAAACCTGTTTTCTTCCATTTCCATATTACTCCAGATTTGACCCATTTCATTCCCTGGGTAGAAACCATCTTTGGCATCCCAACAAGACATGGTAGCATAAAAATCTGGTTTGGGTCCTAATTTGTACCAATTTTGGGGACTGGTTCCAAACCAAGCAGTTTTCTGGATCACTTCCAAAACATCCTCAAAACATATGTTAATGTAATTGAAACTGTATAATCATGAGAACTAAATGAGATTCCTAAGAAATTGAATATCTGTAAGCTATGTGTCTTACCCTCTTGCTATGAAAGTTGTTCCATATGTTCATGAGTTTAGGATTTTTAGAAATTCCAGAAAAATCTACCATTAACTATAATTATTGTTTTCTGATTCAAGTGGTAGACACCTAATTGCAGTCTATAGACCTCAATCAATCTCTCCTTATAATTTTTAATAACAGATATAAAGTCTATACTATATTCTAAAACGCAGTTGTCCACATCAGACTCCAAATATTGCTTTTCACCCTTTTAGAATTTTATGGTTTTTTCAATGTTTAAGAACATAAAATTAATATGAGGCTATTTAAGCCCATCCATAGATGTGTCAAGGGACCAGTTTTGGATTAGACCTTGCCCAAACCAAAATTAATTTGGATGGATTGGATAGACAGGACATATTGAATTGGATCAATCCAGACTTAATGGTCCAAAGTACTTATTGGATTGGATTGGATCTGGTCCACTAATAGAAGATAAGAATATAGGTGTCCAAGGACCAGGTTTGGATTAGAATTATTAATCTAAATTAAAACAAAATTGAACCGATTGGACGGTCCAGACATTGAAATTGGACCAGTCCAAAATAGTCATCAGATTATATTGGACCTGGTCTATTTGTAATGGACTTGCATTGGACTGGATCGAATTGGAGCAAATCCAATCCAATTGACACCCTTATGGCCACCCACAACAAATTCAGTTAAGAAACTAAATATAACATTGGCATCTCAGCCCACGTATTGTACGTGTCTCTTCTAGAATATACTAAGTGAATAGCTCCAATACCTTTTAGGGTACCAAATATAAGTCCTCCCTTTTTCTTTAAATACAAACACAGACTTAGGGATTAGGGTGATTAATAAACCCATGAATGTTGAACTTTGCAAATAATCAAATGGGTGGCAAAATTTTGGTATGACATCCAACGTGAAGACACAGGATCAAATGGACCGGATTGGATTTGAAGTAGGGTATATTCGAATATGATCCGACACTATTTCATGTTGGTTCCAATTCGATCCGAATATCTGATCGAATCTGATAGGACTCGATTTGAATTTGAATCGTATTGGTAAGTTGAATTTTCGGATCTGATCTGATTTGACTTGTTTTTCTTTAAAAATTAATAAATTATTAAAAGAAAATAAAATATACTAATTTAAATATAGTAAAAACAAAAATACAAGTATTTTTTTTTGTTATTTTCATCATATATACATGTTTTTTATAAAAAATAAATAATATAACAAATTTATAAAAATATAATATAAAAAATATATTTATAAATAAATAAATAAATAAATAAATAAATATCATATATATATTGGATTGGTTCTTCTTGGATTGGATAGGAGATGATCTGAATCCAATCCAATTTTTTCATCGGATCTTATTATCCAATCCGATCCGAACAGGGATGATCTGAATTTGACCAAATGAGATTGGATCTCGGATCCGATCCATTTGCACCCCTAATCAACACTACTAAGTGGAGGCTTTGTGGAATGGATAATAGGCCTCACGTGCACAGTACATGGATCATGGATCCAATTGCGTTTAGATCTCATCTAGTTTTTTAAGGACTACGAAGTCTAGGAAATGTAGAAAAAGCATCATCATCATCATCATCATTATTATTATTAGGCACACCCCTTTGCAGGAGAGGCAAAAAAAATTGAAACAATATCCAAAACAGAATAAATTGGGCCTAGTTTGTTGGCCCAATCTAGCTAAGACAGAAGTAACTTGAGGTTGTTAGAGACAAACCATTGCTTTCCTTCTGTATCAAAACTCAAAAGTGATTATTTATCCAAAGTTACGTATTTAGTAAGTTTGCACCAAATTTCAGTTTTGAATCTTTTGATTTGCTTAAATTGCTATGTGATTTGGTGGTTTTTTGAAGGTGATATATGATCTATATCTATACTACTTTAAAAAGCATGAATGGCCTTAAGAATATTTCCGGAATTTTCTAAGGATAAAATTTACCCTTCTATATTTAATTTTATTGATAAAAAAATGAGGGCAAATAGAGTAATCAGTTCTTGATATTAAATGAGTTGAAAAGAGGTAATTTAAAGATATTCAATGCATTAAATTCTCTATCATTAAACATTCAAGTTATTAACTTGCATTCGTGTTCATTGAATCATATATTTAAGCAATTTTTGTTCTTCTCATCATTAAGTTCTATTAATTAAATCTATACTTAATAAATTAATAATTCCAATAACATAAAAGCTTATACTTTTAAAATCTACCTAGCAAAAATAGTGTTTTCATCTAGATGGTGGTAAGAAATTAAATCATTTTGGGTCAAATGGGTTAATCCATGTTGCCACAATTAAATAATAAAATTAAAAATAGATAAAATAAAAAAATAGAAATAAAAAATTGGGAACATTTTTAACATATATATATATATATATATTAAACAATAATAAGCATGATAAATAAGAATTTTTTTTATTAATGATGGAAATGGAATGTAAAATTTAAAACAATTGGAAATAAAACTATTTTCCTATTCTCTCTCATTAAATCTTATATTTAAGATATATTAATTTTTCTCATCATTAAATTCTTGTAATTAAATCCACAATATTAATTTTAATAGTATAAAAATAAATATTTTGAAAAGTAATTTGAATACAAAACAATTTCCTTCCCTCTCAGTGGTGGGTAAGCAATTCGACCATTTGGGGTCAAATGGATTAATAAATAATCCATAATTAAATAATAAAAATTAAAATAAATAACTATAAAATGTAAGAAGTATTTTTATTAATGATGAAAATTGAATGCCAAATTCAAAATCTACCTA